CAACTCAAAAAAAAAAAAAAAAAAGATGCTGAGTTTGTGGTAAGTCGTTATAGTAGCAAACGGGAAATGAACATAGCTTCACTTCAGTGCCAATACCTGGCCTACAGCAGGACCTCAGTAAATATTTTTCAAATGAGTGAAACCATGTTGGAGAACAGGGCACCAGTGTTAAAATAAGAGGAGAGTCAGGCAGGTCGTTAGGATCCTATTTCAGTATCATAAACTTGAGGTGTTGAGGACCTGTCCCCCTTTTTAATTTTTTCCCTTCAACCTTTCAGAGCTCTTTGGTTTTCTTTCAGGCTGGCAGCCTCAACCTAAAGGTCAAGCATCACCCAGGGAGCAGGGCCTTCTTGAAGAGGACTCATCCAATGTCACAGAAAGGGAAAGATTCCCAAGAGGTGCTTCTTGTCCTGTTCTGTTAGGGGAAAACTGGCAGTGTCAGGGCTGGGGCCAGGGCCAGGTGCTCAAGAAGGACCAGAATAACCTGAAACAATTAGAATTTGGCCTCAAGGAAGCACCAATTCAAGATCAAGGCTATGAAACTCTCAGACTTGGGGAAAACCCAAATCCATTCCCAGAGATTTCTAGGAGAGAATATCTCTGTACTTACGATTCACAGATTACAAACTTGGAACATAATGCAAGTTTAGTCAGTCAGCAGATGGGTTCCCCAGGAGAACAGCCCAGTGAAAACAGTGACTGTCACAAAGCTTCCAATCAGGCTGTTCCAGTTGCAGAACTTGCAAGAAGCCAAGTGCAGGATAAGCCCTACAAATGTACTGACTGTGGGAAGTCATTTAACCATAATGCACACCTCACAGTGCACAAGAGAATTCATACGGGAGAGAGACCTTATATGTGCAAAGAGTGTGGGAAAGCCTTCAGCCAGAACTCCTCCCTCGTTCAACATGAGCGAATCCACACAGGAGACAAGCCCTACAAGTGTGCCGAATGTGGGAAGTCTTTTTGCCATAGTACACACCTTACCGTCCATCGGAGAATCCACACAGGGGAGAAACCCTATGAGTGTCAGGACTGTGGGAGGGCCTTCAACCAGAACTCATCCCTGGGCCGGCACAAGAGGACACATACTGGAGAGAAGCCGTATACCTGCAGTGTGTGTGGGAAATCCTTCTCTCGGACTACTTGCCTTTTTCTGCACCTGAGGACTCACACTGAGGAGAGGCCTTATGAATGTAACCACTGTGGGAAGGGCTTCCGGCACAGCTCCTCCCTAGCCCAGCATCAGCGAAAGCATGCTGGGGAGAAGCCCTTTGAGTGCCGCCAGAGGCTGATTTTTGAGCAGACGCCAGCTCTGACAAAGCATGAATGGGCAGAAGCCCTTGGCTGTGACCCACCTTTGAGTCAAGATGAGAGGACTCACCAGAGCGATAGGCCCTTTAAATGTAATCAGTGTGGAAAGTGTTTCATTCAGAGCTCTCACCTCATCAGACACCAGATAACTCATACCAGAGAGGTGGAGCCTCATGGGCGAAACCGGAGGCGTGAACAGTCCTTTGGCCGTAGTAGCTCACACCTTGTCCGTCATCAGCACTCAAATTCAAGAGAGACCTCTGCAGGTGGGGTAAAGGCAGGACAGCCAGAAAGCAGGGCTCTGGCCTTGTTTGACATCCATGAAATCATGCAAGAGAAAAACCCTGTGCACGTAATTGGAGTGGAAGAGCCTTCTGTTGGTGCTTCCATGTTACTTGACATCAGAGAATCCACATAGGAGAGAAATTCTGCAGATGACTTTTAACCACAGGTACAAAAATGTGGTAAGTCCACATAGTGCATTCATGGAAAGGGGCTGGGGATGGAAATGTTGATGGGTTACCTGACTAAGGAAGCGATACTTCCCAAATACCTAAGATCGGTGGATTCCAAATCTACCAAACTCAGTGCCCCTTTTAACAACAGTTATTTTGTGACATTCCCTCCATTACTCCACAGTGAGTTCACAGGTGATATAACCTACCCACATATGCCATGTCAAAAAGTCAATATACAGCCCTGTTTTGTAAAGCATAATTAAAATGAAAGTAATTTATGGTAGAGTAATGTGAGAGAGTAATGTGTACTGAGTCTGTGCAGTATCTCGCCTTGCAAGTGTTTGAGCCCAGTTTCACCAGGAGCCCTGGGGCAATTCCCTGTTCCTTGCAGACTAGAAGCAGGTATAGTGTTGGCCATGGAAAAACTGTGAAGGACATTCCTGTGTGGAATGACTTTCCAAAATAGTGACTAACTCTTGGAAGAGTTTTGAACAAAACAACATGCTGATGCATTTCTGAAAAATTGTGTGTAAATTCCAAGCATGCAGCAATTAATTTGTGTTTATATATAAAGTTGAGTTATGCTCTCAGTTCATATATTGCAAACTGGTTGTTTCATAGGTGTGTACCTGGTTCACTGGGCTAGTTCTGCACTTCACCATTATTGCAACATGCTTGGCTCCTGCCCACTTGTCAGTTTCAACCACACTCCCCGGTCATGTGGCAAAGAAAAGCCCCCATGAAATTTCACAACCATTCACTGGGGACAGTGTCATGCTCTGCTTGAAAACTACTGCCTCAGAACATCCAGCGTTGCTGTAAGCCTGAGGTTCTCAACTGGGGTGTTTTTGCCCCCCAGGAGACATTTGGTGCTGTCTGAAGACATTTTTGGTTGCCCTGACTGGGAGAAGGGTGTCACTGACATCTAGTGGGTAGAGGCCAGGGATGCTTCTCAACACCCTACAGTGTCTAGGACAGCACCTCTACGAAGAATTATCTAGCCCAAAATGTTAGTAGTACTCAGGTGGAGAAGCCCTGGTGTAAACCCAGTCCAACAATGTAGCTAAACCCAGTCCAACATTTTCTAAACTCTGCAAATTGTTTGATCAGGGCTGGAGTAACAGTCATCTAAGGTTGATCTTGCAAATGATTTCATTCACTAGTTAATACATTATGTGTTTTTTAGTAAACACTTTACCATTTTGCAGCATTTATAATTGCTGTGAAGAAAGGAAAAGATTCCACCTATTTTTCTGAATAATCTTACAGCATTTATTGTGGTCATTTTCAAACACAAATAATGTATTTTCACTGACCATAGTGGGAAGCTTCACCTTCATTATCATACTGCTTTCCTCCAAGTTTGCTCCTAAGGAAAGCAGGGGTCTCTGACTTTTGTCCATGCTGTTCTTGACACAGAAAGAACATTGTACATCAAGGAGTGGTCCTTGGTGCCTCATAGCACAAGGGATGAAAAGACCAAGAATTTAAACCTACCTACTTTCTAAGCTAAAGTGCAACAACTTGTGGATGTCCATATGCCATAGCTACAGCCAGATGCCTATTTGCCAGGACACTACGCCAAGTGCCTGTTCAGCTGTTGATGCACAGGTTTAACCAGGTTATCCTTTTGGTTGGTGTTCCCACTGCAGTTGCATTCTAGTGAAATTAAACATACCCTCAGCATTGAAATTGGAGGGAAAGAAAATTGATCACAACACATTGCAGGGTGAAACAAAATGGTTCCTAAAAATAAACTGCAGAAGGAATGTTGAATTGGCAGGGTAGAGAGTTGAATGGAGAAATGATGATTCTGGAAAAATTCAACAGGAGTTTGAATAACTGTGTTAGGATAGTTGAGCATTGGAACTCACTGCCATCAGAACTTCTATGTCCATTTTTGCTGTGTGGATGCTGCAAGTGTCACAACTGATGGGATTTCCATCTGAGCAATGTGGGCTTCCAGGATGCTTAAAGCCAGCTTTGGGGTTCATCTCTAGAGGTTCCACAAGACCCTGCCAATGGCTTAGGTTTGTTCCTCTGGAGTCGTTCTCACATATTTCCTTTGTCAGTTCTCACTTGTCACAGCAACTCTGTCCTCACACTTTGGCCCATGCCATCTTCTATTCCTTCTTAGATGGCCTTCTGTTTGCATAGCTCAAAAGTGCATCTTCAGACAGACAGTGCCACAATAATAGTTCTGTGAGGTAGTATCACTTTATGGATAAAGAAAATTAGGCACAGGACAAGTTGCTAGTAACTAGAACAAAACCAGTCAAAGGTTACACAGGAAGTGGTAGAGTCAGTATTTGATAGCAACACCCATCTGACAGTGTCAGGTTAGACTTTGTTCAAAGGCTGACTTTTCAGTGATTTGGCTATTTCATAGCTGGTGTTTTCTGTAGTTCTCTCAACTTTTCCCTTATGGTTATGAGGAGACTTTGGTTCAAACCATTGCATCTGCAGACAAGACTGGAAGTAGGGGGCGGAGGCTGGCCAACAGTCATCTCTTTGATGATGTTTCAAAGAAAAGATGTTCCCAGAAGTCTCCAGCAATGCCCACTTAAGTCTCATTGGCTTCACGTCTGTAATCCCAGTGCTTTAGGAGGCAGATACAAGAGGATTGCCTGAGCCCATGGGTTCAAGACCAACCTGGGCAACAAGGTGAGACCTCATGTCTACAACAAAACAAAAAAAATTAGCTGGGTGTGGTGGTGCACGCCTATAGTTCCAGCTAATTGGAAGGCTGAGGTGGAAGGATCACCTGAGTCTAGCAGGTTGAGGATGCAGTGGCTGTGAGTGTCCCACTGCACTCCAGCCTCAGTGACAGAGTGAGACTTTGACTCAATAAAAAGTCTCATTGGCCAAGACTGGGCCACAGAACTTAAGTTTTTCTGACCTCTGTGGTAGAGACAAGTAAGAGAGGAAAAGGTCTTGGGGAGTGGACAACTAGCAGCATCTGCCTCCTTTCTCCTTCAGTCTCTTGGAAAAGTTATCTATGCTCCCCACTTTTTTGGTGCCAGCTCATACCTCAGACCCCTCTATCTGCCCTGCTGCTTCACAGAACTACTGTGGCCGTAGTTGGGTGCCAGCATCGTCTCTTCATCTCCAGGACTGTTAACTCCTTTTATTCTGGGATTCTTTCCCATTCTCAGGGCTTTTCCTCCTCTCACCCATCCTAAATGTTGGAGTCCCTGGGATGTTATCCCAGGATCCATCTTGTGCTCCATGTACTTTCCAGGTGTCATCCACACCCCTGTCTTTGTTTCTTTCACTCCCACATCTGAATTTGGTGTATCTGAGTTCTGAGCTTCAGGCGCCAATGGCAGGGGTCTGCTGTACATCTCAGTGTGAAAGGGCGGTTTGCCCTAGAAGTGCAGTAAGTTCAGTGAACCCAGCCTGTCTAAAACAAAACACTTGTTTTTCATCCAAACGAATCTGCCTTCCTCCATCATAGAAGAAGAAAATTAGCCTTTCTCAACCTTTTTCCTTCTGCACTCCCTGTGGAGTTACAGGTGTCATCCACACCCCTGTCTTTGTGTCTTTCACTCCCACATCTGAGTTTGGTGTATCTGAGTTCTGAGTTTCAGGTGCCAATGGCAGGGGTCTGCTGTATATCTCAGTGTGAAAGGGCAGCTTGCCCTAGAAGTGCAGTAAGTTCAGTGAACCCAGCCTGTCTAAAACAAAGCACTTGTTTTTCATCCAAACGAATCTCCCTTCCTCCGTCATAGAAGAAGAAAATTAGCCTTTCTCAACCTTTTTCCTTCTGCACTCCCTGTGGAGTTACAGGTTTTTGTTTATTTTGCCATGTGAACATCTCTGATCTGTTCACTTCATTCCGTCTTCACTCTCACTGCTAGAGCAGGATGACCCTGAGAGAGGAAGTAACATGCTACCAAGTGGCTCTGATACCAGAATCTCACTTTGACCGGTCTTTCTTTCTGCTTCACTAGCATTGCCGGGTGCAGGCTTGGGAATCCAGACAGGTATGCACCCTCTGCTCCCCTACTATGGGGTGGGGGACCCCATAGTAACATCCATTTTAGTAGAAGGGGTAATGTTTTGATACTTCAGAGTGGATGCAGGGTCGGCTGAGGTTATAGCAGCCCCACTGGGTAAGCTGAGATCAAGCATGTGAAGCAGAAGGAACAAGCAATGGTAATCTGTATATTTTCCATTTATTATTTTGGTTCACTCATTCTAAGCATGATGCTCCTATTGATTTCCTTGTAGATAATTTGAAATATAAGAAACCACTAAATGGAAATTATTGTAACTAGAGAAAATACATTTTTTCTCTGTTTATAAAAGGAATGCAGATTCTTTGTAGCAAGACTTGGAAAATGCACAAAAGTAAAAACAGTATGAAAACTTGTAAAATTTAACTCCTCATACTTCAGCCATCCATAGATGGTCATTGCTTTTAATATTTTGCTAATTTCCCTTGTAATTTTTCTTAAAATATACATGTGTGTATATATAAAATGTTCACTAAATCTTTTACACATACAGTCATATATATTGATATAGTTATCTTGTGTTTAGAAATTTGGAATTCCATCTAGTTCTCTTGTAACATGTGCTTCTTACTCTATTTTGAGGACTTTCTCTGACTGTGAATTTCATACAGCTTTTTAAATTAACTTTCAAGAGGGTTGTAACAATGTGCCCTCCACCCAGTATTTTACCATCCTTGAGCTTTCTTGAAGGGGATGGGGTGGGAGTTCCTATACATTTCCAGTGGGAGTAGAAAGGGCTTATAGATGGTAGTTTATCAGTCACTGTATAAATTACAAATATATAAACCTTTGTCTAAGTAAACCTGCTGGGAATTAATGCTACAGATATATTTGTATGTGTGCAGACTGTTTGTACATGGTTTTCATTATGCTATTGATTTTAAAGGCAAAAATATGGAAACAACCTTCATGTCCACCATGGGGAAATGGCTAAGTATTTATGGTGGAATGGAGATCATAGCCTTAAAAATGAAGACTGTCTTTATATACAGGTTGAGTATCCCTTATCCGAAATGTGTGGGGTCAGGACTGTTTCAGATTTTTTTTTCTTTTTAAATTAAATTAAAATTTTTTTAACAATAGAGATGAGGTCTCACTATGTTGCCCAGGCTGGTTTTGAACTTCTGGGCTCAGGCAGTCCTCTTATCTCAGCCTCCCAGAGTGCTGGCATTACAGGCATGAGCTGCCATAACTGGCCAGATTTCAGGTTTTTGAATTAGGGATGCTGAACTAATGTGAGAAAGAGACCCAAGATACATTAAGTGATAAA